ATAATAAAAAAAATAATCCATTTTTACTGAATGGATAAAATTTAAATTATTCTGGGTACTAAAAAGTTATAATCTCTTAGATACACTTTTTTTATTTAGCTGCAGATACTTTAATTTTCTTTCATCTTTTCAATATATTTCTATAGCTTCTGTTTCCAAAATGATAATCAAAATCACTTGGGAAGTCAAGAGTCCCAAATCTCAATGAAGACTTACTAAATCAGAGTGTTAGAGGTAGTATCCAAGAACCTGCATTTTACGGCTCCAAAGTTAATTCTTATGTAATCAGTCTAAGAAGTGGAACTTGGAAATAACTACAATGAAGTTTCACCTAACAAATTCCTCCAAAGAGATTTCAAATGTGTCTCTTTCTTTTGGTGGGGGGGACAGATGGAGAGGGAGAGAGAATCTTAAGCAGGCTCCATGCCCAGCGTGGAGCCTGAGGCAGGGCTAGATCTCACAACCCTGGGATCACGACCTGAGCCAAAATCAAGAGTCAGACGCTTAACTAACTGAGCCACTCACCCAGGCGCCCCTCAAATGTGTTTCTTCTATCGATTCCACACCTCCCCCAATGCAGATCATCACCATATGTCACTCAGGCTTTGCAATGTAATCTGAACAGACCGATTACCCTGCTTTCAACTCAAACCATAACCCCCTTCATCCCTTTCACCTCTGTTCTACATTGATAAAATACCTAATAGGAAAAAGAAAACTTTAAAATGATCATAAGAAAATACAGGAAAGTACCTTTTAGGATTTGGGGTAGGGAAAAATATCTTAAGATATAAAAAAGCAAAAATCATTAACAAAAAAGCAAAAATTCTGAGATCAAAATTTAAAACTTCTGTTTGATAAAATACACCATTATCAAAGTTAAAGTAAAAGCCAAAAATCAAGAGTAGATATCTATAAATGAAATAACAGGCAAGGGTGCCTGGGTGGCTCAGTCAGTTAAGCAACTCTCTTTAGCTCAGGTCATGATCCCCGAGTCTCAGGATCGAGCCCAAATCAGGCTCCCAGCTCCGTGGGGAATCTGCTTCTCCCTCTGACCGTCCCCCATCTCAGGCTCTCTCTCTCTCAAATAAATAAATAAAATCTTAAAAAAAAAAAAAAACAGGCAAAAAGTTTAACATCCAAAATTAAAGACTTTCTATATATCATTATCTTAAAAAAAAAACAAAACAGGCAAAAAGTTTAACATCCAAAATTAAAGACTTTCTATATAACATTATCTTAAAAAAAAAAACCTCAATAAAAAGAGAGATACTCAGAACAGCTAATAAACACACAAAAAAGGACCCAGCCTCACTAGTAATCAAGGAAATAAAAGTCAAGATAATTGGGCATTATTTCCAACGTATCAGAATCACAAAAATTAAACTCTGACAATAAATGTTTTCAGATTAAAATTAATAACTTTCATATACTGCTAATGGCAAAGGAAATAATAAAACTATTTAGCAAAGTTGAAGATGTACCTCCTCCATGAGCCAAAAATACCGGTTGTGGTCACACAACACACATACGAAAATATTTACAAGAATACTCAATGCAGCCTACTTATTATAGTAAAAAAAAAAAAAAAAAAAAAAAGACAAACAAAAAACCCCAGAAAACCCAAACATCCATCAGTAGCAGGACAGATGAACTACAGTATATATTTATTAGCACACTGCAATATTATACAATAGTTAAAACAAGTGAACTTGATTTATATGCTTTGTTATGAATAGATCTTAGGCATACTGTCACATGAAAAAAACTGTAAATGGTATGAATAATTATTTATGAAAAAAGAATCCGTTGGACACATAAAAATATTTGGTATTGTTTATGGATATACAGTATAATACAAATAGTATTACAACATAGACTGAAAGGACATATATGAATTGTTATCGCAGAAGAATATTATTTGATACTGTAGAAGGGCACAAAGTAGATTTCAGCATTAGGGGTAAAGCCCTATGTCTTTTACTTTTAAATATCTCAGGAAAACAATATTAAGTAAGGGACCCATTTTCTTCCCACCCTTCCAATACCTGGGACTTAAAAACATACCTTTTGCTAAATCTTCTTCTTCCTTTTTGTTAGCCACAGTACCAGGATCTTTGGCAACCAATGCTGGGCTCGCTTTCGCTTGTTCTGCAGCCTAACACACACAAAAAAAGGAACACAATATTTGAGGATTGTCCTCAGATTTTGCTACCTCCACTTTAATCTAAGAACTTGCAAGACCCTTCTGATCAATCCACCACAGACTTCTGAGGCAGAAAATAATCCAAACTAGAGCAATCTCCACTTTGAAAGGAGAAGAGTTGGAATTGGAGAAAAAAGACTGAAAGCAGCTGGATACTGAGGGCTGACAGTCTAATCACACTCTCTTACATTTGTGTAAAGGCGGTAAGCTAAAAGAAGACAGCATGCAAACAAGAGAAGAAAGACTAGAAGAGATTTAAAAATTGTTAGAAAAATCCTGAAACCCGAAAAGGGGTTGAGAAAGGGAAGGAGATACCTAAAAAACAAATAGTTTTTTGGGGCGCCGGGGTGGCTTATTCAGTCAAGCGGCTGCCTTCAGCTTGGGTCATGATCCCAGGGTCCTGGGATCAAGCCCCACATTGGGCTGGCCGCTCAGCAGGGAGTCTGCTTCTCCCTCTCCCTCTTCCTCTGTGTGCTCTCTCCCTCTCTCTCAAATAAATAAATAAATAAAATCTTTAAAAACAAAGACTTTTTTTAAATTTAAAATATCTGTTCAAGTTATATTTTATTGCTTCCTTCCAAATTAAAAGGCAGGATGTTATCTTTAGGAACTGTAATTTATATATAATGATATAATACTCCGAAAATTATACTATTTTGTAAACTAAAATACAAGTAGTTAATTCTGACAATATATTCCAGTTACCAGTAACTGCTAGCATACACACACACACACACACACTTTTATGCCTCTGACACAAATTTGTTTCTACTAATAATGTCTTCCCCTCTGGTTCCTTTTACTCTGTCCCCATTTTTCCCTATTGAGTTTTAACTCACCAGTCAGTCAACAGCTAAAATAATCACTTTCTCAATGAAACTTTCCTAAATCCCTAAATTAAGCATCCCCTCCTGTGCTCCTCTGATAGGACTTTTAACAAGGTACTATGCTGTGGGTAGTTAAGAATGTAAATTGTGATTAACATAATGTAATAAAAAAAATGACAATGAGATAAAATTTCACAATTATCCTATTGTCAAAAAGTAAAAAGCCTGGCAACACACTTTTTTGATGAGGTTGTAAGATGACAAGGTACAATATATTGTTGGTGGAATGCAGAATGATAAACCCCTATGGAAATAAATTCATCAAAATCTAGCAGAATAAAAAAAAAATGTAAATTGTGGAGCCAGGCAAACATGGGTTCAAATCCTAAATCTACGAGGTTCTGATGTATGACCTGGGGTACATTAACCTCCTTGTGCCTTAAGTCTCTCATCTACAAAATGACGGTAATAATAGCACCTACATATGGTAGGCTTTTGAGAGGATTAAATTAATATGTAGCTTTCCAACTCAGATAGGATGGGGGTCACCATTGAGGGTTTATTTTTTTTTTAAAGATTTTATTTATTTGAGAGAGAGAGGGAATGAGAGAGCACATGAAGGGGGTAGGGTCAGAGGGAGAAGGCAGACTCCCTGCCGAGTAGGGAGCCCGATGCGGGACTCGATCCAGGGACTCCAGGATTATGACCTGAGCCGAAGGCAGTCACTTAACCAACTAAGCCACTCAGGCGCCCACCACTGAGGGTTTAAAACAAAAAGTTTAACATTCTCTCCTGGGATTTATAATGTACATAGAGGTAATGTAGGTCATACATATGATACTTACTGCATAAAGGATGATGAAATGAAGGGTAAATAAACCCTCAACAGTTGAACAGTTTCTACATTTTACATGAAGTAATACAGTATTAACTCAAAATAGACTGTAAACAGTTACAAATGTATATTAGAATACTCAAAGCAACCAAGAACAACATGAATGGAATTCTAAATAGTATTCAAATTAACACATGTACAGCACATAGAACAGTGCCTCGCACATAGTAACAGTCAATAAATCTCAGCTTCTATTAAAATTATCTGCTTATATCTGTCTCCATAACCATGCTATACGTTCCCTGAGAATATATGTGCCTAAATATGGATGGACTACTAACAATCAAGAAATAATTGTTGAATAAATGAAAGGCAAAATATTCAATGTTATAGTAAAACAGAGTTCTAGATACATATGTAGTTCTACATATACAGTTCTATATATACATTAGTATATTTTATATTGTCAAACAAATGCACAAAGCATTTATTTTTTAGAAAACTGGATACTAAAAAGCTTTTTGTAGTTCACTAAATGAAACTTTAAGCACTCTCAATTCTGCTCCATCTCTAGGTGGAATCTTCTTTAGATATGAACTTTGTGTGTGTGTGTGTGTGTGTTTTGGGTTTTTTATTATGTTCAATTACTCAACATATAGTATATCATTAGTTTTTGATGTAGTGTTCAGCGATTCATTAGTTGCATATAACATCACGCATCTCTGAAAATTAAAGGTATGCTTCCTCAGAACAACCTTTGCAATCACATATGAATTTTTTTTCAGTTTGGTGGATTTCACAAAACAGACATATTGATCTTTTGTGGTCTGTGAAGGAATTTCTATCAGCCAAGAAGAAAGTGCAGACAATATATTCAAAGTGTGAAAAGGAAGAAACTTAAACCAGACAAGATTATCATTCAGAACTGAAGAACTGATAAAGAATTCCCAAATCAACAAAAGCTATAGGAGTTCATCACTACTAAAAGGGTTTCACAAGAAATGTTAGAGGGACTACTTCATGGGGAAAAGAACCTAACTAGAAATAAGAAAATATGTGATAGAAAAAAATTTAACTGATAAAAGAAAACATATAGTAAGGGTTGCTGATCAACCACTAATAAAGCTAGTATGAAGGTTATAAGACAAGAGTAACAAAGTCAACTATATTTACAATAACTATTTAATGGATACACAAATAAAAAGACGTAAAACATGACATCAGAAACATAAAATGTGGGTGAAGGGAATAAAAATGTAGTGCCTTTAGAATGTGTTTGAACTTAAGCAACTACCAACTTAAAATAATCTGCTATATATACACAGGTTGTTATAGATGAACCTCAGGGTAACCACAAACCAAAATCCTGTAACAGATACACAAAAAATAAACAGAAAGCAATCCAAACAAAACACTAAAGAAAGTCATCAAATCACAAGGGAAGAGACCAGGAGAAGAAAAAGAAATAGAGAAGAACCACAAAAACAACGAGGAAACAATGAGCAAAATGGCAATAAATACATACCTATCAACAATTACTTTAAATATAAATGGACTAAACTCTCCAATCATAACACATAGGGTAGATGAATAAAAAAACAAGACCCATCAGTCGACTCACTTGAAATCTGAAGGCACATTCACTGAAAATGAAGGTATAGAAAAAGTTTTCCATGCAAATGAAAATGAAAAGAAACCTTAGGTAGCATTAATTATATCACACAAAATAGGCTTTAAAACAAAGACTACAACAAGAGACAAAAAAGAACATTACATAATGACGGGATCAATTCAACAAGAAGATAAAACACTTGTAAATATCCATGCACCCAACACAGGAGCACCTAAATAGATAAAATGACTATTAACAGACAAATTAGGGGAAAAAAATGACAGCAACACCATAATAATAGGGGGCTTTAAAATACCAGCTTACATTAATTGATAGATCATCCAGATAGAAAATTAGTAAGGAAACATCAGCTTTAAATGACACATTAGACTAGAAGGATGTAATAGATATACACAGAACATTGCATCCCAAAACAGCAGAACACAAATCTTCTCAAGTACACATGAAACATTCTCCAGGAGAGATCACATGTTAGGCCACAAAACAAGACACAGTAAATTTAAAAAGAATGAAATATATCAAACATCTTTTCCAACCATAATGGTTTGAAACTAGAAATCAGTTACTAGAAAAAAACTGTAAGAAACAAATACATGAAAGACTTGACATGTTACTGAACAACCAATGGGTCAACAAAGATATCAAAATGAAAATGAAAATACAATGTTCCAAAATCTATGGGACACAGCAAAAGCAACAGCAAGAGAAAAGTTTGTAGTAATACAGACCTACCTCAAGAAACAAGAAAAATCCCGAAAAAAAAATTCAACTTTACACCTAAAGGAACTAGAAAAAGAAGAACAAAACCCGAAGCAGTAGAAGGAAGGAAATAATAAAGAGGAGAGCAGAAATCAATGAAGTAGACACTAAAACAATAAAAATGATCAGTGAAACTAAGAGCTGGTACTTTGAAAAGATTAACAAAATTGATAAAGTATTGTTCAGATTCATCAAGAAAAAAAGAGGACTCAAATAAATAAAATCAGAAATGAAAGAAGAGAAGACAAAGTATCATAAGAGACTGCTATAATTATACACCAACAAACTGGACAACCTAGAAGAAATGGTTAAATTCCTATTCTTCCAAAACTAAATCAGGAAGAAACAGAAAATCTCGAAAAATGATTACCAGTAATGAAATTGAATCAGTAATCAAAAACTTCCCAACACACAAAAGTCCAGGACTAGGCGAATGTGTATCAAACACTTAAAGAATTAACACCTTCCTTCAGAAACCGTTCCAAAAAACTGAAGAGGAAAGAATGCTTCCCAACCTATTTTACAAGGCCAACATTACCCTGATACTAAAACCAAAGACACTCCCCCCCCAAAAAAAGAAAAAAAGAAAAAGAAAAAAATGTACAGCCCAATATCCCTGATGAACATGCAAAAATCCTCAACAAAATATTAGCAAACCAAATACAACAATATATTAAAAGTATCATACACCATGATCAAGTGGGATTTATTCCAGGGATGCAAGGATAGTTCAATATCTGCAAATCAATCAACATGATACACCACATTAAAATAATGAAGGATAATAACCATATGATCATCTCAAGAGAAGCAGAGAAAGCATCTGACAAAATTCAACATTCTTTGAAGATAAAAACTTTCAACAAAGTGGGTAGAGAGGGAACATACCTTAACATAA